CTGTCCTTGTGGTGAAGAGGCAGCAGTGGCCTTCAACAAGGAATCAGGAGCCCCACTGGCTTTGGGCTTCAAGTCCTGCTCCAAATCCTGACTAACACAGGCTGAGAACTCTGAAAGGCTGGGGAGAGAGAGCAGGCCCAGGCAGGTGGCTTGGCAGGAGGGGCTTGCTAGGAGTAAACAAGATCCTCAAGGGTTATCTTTCTGTAGCAGGAGGACCCCCAACAGAGATCGGAGCTCTTCAGCAGCAGTGGACACTAGAGACAATAGGATGTGAAAAAGTCCTACCTTCAAGGCAGTAGCCTTGAAACGGTAGTAGGCAGTGTTTAAAAGCTCACAGAGATAGTCAGTTGCAAGGTCCCAGGGGAAGACTGTGGCAATTAGAAACAAAAATAAAAACAAACAAACAATAACCCTCACCTGGCTAGGGAAGAAAACTGAGAAGGGACAACCCACACTCATCCCTTTGATGCTCCCCTTCCAACCAGTCTGAGTCCATGCTGGGCAGCAGTGGTACCCACCTTTAATCCCAGCACTTGGGAGGCAGAGGCAGAGGCAGGTGGATCCTTGTGAGTCTGAGGCCAGCCTGGTCGGCAGAGTGAGTTCCCCGAACATCTAACTCCCCGAACATCTAGGGCTGCGTAGAGAAACTGGGTCTCTCTCTCTCTCTCTCTCTCTCTCTCTCTCTCTCTCTCTCTCTCTCTCTCTCTCTCTCTCTCTCTCTCTCTCTCTCTCTCTCATACACACAAAAACAAAACCAACAACAAACCCCCCAAACAGCCAGGTGGTGGTGCACGCTTTTAATCCCAGCACTTGAGAGGAAGAAGGGGGTAGATCCCTGTGAGTTTGAGGCCACCCTGGTCTACAAGAACTAGTTCCAGGACAGGCTCCAAAGCTACAAAGAAACTCTGTCTCGAAATAAAACAAAACAAAAGCCAAAACCACCAAAACAACAACAACAAAGCCCCACCTGATTCTTGACAGGAGTCTGAGTCCCAGCTGACTCCTGGCTCTGCTCTGGACCTGCTCTGAGAGATGCAGCTTTTGCTTGGAGAGCTACTGTTTCTGCCACAGCTGTGGAGACTGGGTGCTTCAGCCATAAGCAGGGTAATTTCTTCAGCCTTTGAGACACACCAGAGATGGGAGATCTACCATTTTAGATACTCAGTGACCTGCTCTCTGCAGACTTGCTCTGCCAGAGACTGTGCCCAGTTGGCATACTGAGACACTCTTGAGAGTTTGCTGCTGTGACCCTTGGCTAGGTACCCAGAAGCCTGCTCAGATCTTAGCTTATTCATTCTAGCTCCCTATCCAAGTGTCCACTCTTCTGTTTAAAGTGCTCTGGTTGGTAAATAAGAGTCCGTCTTGCTCTTCCCTTTCACTGACTATCCACTTTATCCCTGGAGGGAGGGGAAAACAAGAAATCGAGGTAAGACTAGGCCATCTTAGGGAAACGAGGTGGCGAAACATCATGATCCAGTTGACTGTTGTTGGGGGGTGGCCGTCATGGCAGGGACTTGTGGAAGCCACTGCTGTTTCAGGACAGTCAAATGGAGCTAGGAAGGGAGTCAAGCAGCCCGCAGGGCTCAGGACACCAGAGGGTCCCACCAGTAGTGCAAGCTGCGGGATGCGAGACCAGATCCCTTAGTGCACGGAGCTCCTTGAAGCTTTCTGAGAAGGGGATGCGAGGGTTTTTGTGGGTACCTATGCCTTTATCCTACTAGCAACCCTTCCTTCAGCCTCTCAGGCATTCACTCAGCAAAATATTGGCACACTGCTGTTTTCTGGTAGCAAGCAAAATCCCACCCTCTCAGCCCTGTGGAGAGGCCCAGGTACATTGGTGGGCTGCGTTCCCTCTTATCTAGGGGCAGGCTATCTGCCTAAATGCTTTCTTGCTCCCAGCAGAAGACCTTGGCGCACAGGAACACATTCAACACTACACAGGCCAATTCCCAGAAGCCCCTAGGGATCCCAGCTCGGTAATAGGAGGTACCAGTGGCAGTATAGAGTCCCATAGGCAGGAAAGACGGGAAGTGTGCACAGGACAGAGTTGAGTTAAAAAGTAGGACATGCCAGGAATAAAAAGGGCAAACCAAGGAACACTGTTTGGTGACAACTTCAAATGGAAAAGGAAGTCAGGGAAGGGCAGTGTTGGGCTCTGGCAAAGTCAGAAGGGCAGTGGGCAGCCATGGGCTGTGTCTGAGCAGGGAAGCAGGAGAGTCAGGTTGGCATTTTGGAAAGATCATCCTGACTGCACTTGTGAGAGCATGACATTTTTGGTTTGTAAAATCATCTGTCGCCAGGTCAGACCTTTACCTATGGGGTAAATCCCCTAATAACGGATATCAAAGCCCTGCCCACATTACTGTTTAGACATAATTCTTCAGAGAGTATCACTCCCAAATCAATACACACCTGAAGTCATTATTACCAAGTTCTACTAGTAAGTATTCTTCACTCTCGATGGATGTCATGGAAGAAGTTGAAACCTTGTCCCACCCTACCAGGGAACTATCTTAGAGCTTGATGTGCCAGTCTAAGCTTGCATCTGGGACGAATGGGCCTCTCTCACAGAGCCTCAGGGGAGTTTATGTGGTCAACTCCCTACACACCAAAATCTTAGCATAAGGAACACCCTTTAGTGGTCTTTTGCTGCAGCCAGTGCAGCCTGGATAGCCAAGACTGGCGGGGTGGGGTGGGGGGGCGGGGTGCTAGCATTGAGACACGGAGGCTTCTTTTCAGGTGCAAGAACAGCAACCTTTATTTTGCCCAGCAACCTTTTATACCTCTACTCTTTCTGTGGAGACCCACCGGCCAGAAAGAACACAAACATCCTTGTCAATTACAGACCACAAGGAAGTTCCACCTTCAGTCAGGGGGAGTGAGGGCAGCTGGATCACGACAATTCTGAAATTGCTAATTTGAATTATCTTAATCCTCTGAAGGGAAACAACATTGTCTTGGGTTTTGCCTAGGCAGGGATTCAAGTTTTGCTTTTTTGTCTTTAAACTCCTACTTGTCAATAAAAACATATTTACAATTCACTTGTCTTTCCCTTGATGGCTGTAACTAGCTGTGTGAAACCTTCTGGAGCACCTTCCTCTTGTGCTTTCCTGATTTCTGGAACTACTCCTGCATCCTGCAGATTCTCTTCTGTCTAGGGGATGGGCCAGGGGGGCTGCAGGGCTTTGACTGTAGACAGTTCTGCAAGTGAAGGTCTGGAAGTGCACCTGTGTGCGGACATGCAGATTCAGACAAAGCCACCCCTCAGGAAAAACTCTATGCAGGTATGTTCCCCATCTAGCGAGTAGATGGGGCAGAGTCAGCAGGGAAAATACTGTAGAAACCCAAAAATCACATTTCTTAACCTAAAACAGTGCTTTTCAACCTGTGGGTAGCCACCCCTTTTGCCTTTTGGCATTTATCAACCTTAAATAAAACCATTGGAAAACTCAGATATTACATTATGAGTCATAATAGTAGCAAATTACAATTACGAAGTAGCAAGGAAAATGGTTGGGAGAGGGTCATCACAACATGAGGATTGTATTAAAGAGGCACAGCATTAGAAGGGTTGAGAACCACTGCCCTAGAGCATCAAGAATGTAAACAAACAAGAAGGAGCTATAAGATTTCATTAACACATTTCATTCCTGGGGCATCAGTCATAGAAGATAACTTTAAAGAAAAGTCACACAGAGTAGTAAATTACACTCACAAAGCTCCGACATTCCACTGAAAAAATATGTGCATGGGTAAAGGTTTCCTGTCAGTGCAGGGATGTGTGGGATTGGGGAGCTAGAAACCAGCAGGCAAGCAGCAGGCATCCTAAGGAGTCAACAGAATTTAGTCCCTTCCCCAAGTTCAATATGGGGACAATAGGGCTTAAAGGATCTAGGGTAAAAGGCTGAGAAGAGTGCTGGTTCCCAGACTCACATAGGTGACAGTTTGGAACACAGTGGGCCTTGCTGTTCACTTGTGGTGCATACTTCCACAGGGCACTCCACAGCTCCTGTGGGTTACACAGCAAGTACCCATCTTTTAGGGTGCTGACTCCCCGATCAGAGAGTGAAATCCCTCTGCCTCACTCTTTTGCTGAGCCCTGGGAGGAAACTACCAGAAATAAAAGAATTCCCCTCGGGGTCCTGTGAACTCTACAGAAAGAAGATGGAATGAACAGACTCAGGGGCGCCCAGAATGAACGATTGCTTATCTGCTTCTCCCAAACCCTGGGGGCAGCATCTTGGGGAATTCATCTCAGAATCCAAGGCTGGGATCCATGCAGGAGGTAGGTCTCTGACCATAGTGAGGAAAAAGCACCCAGGTTCACATTTGCAACTTGCTTGCATATGGTGCAGGGGAGTTAGGGCTAAAATGGAGGGTGAGGTTGAAACAGCCAAACCAGGAGCACTAAGATTGAGAAACAGAGTCTCTGAAGCCCAGTCCCACAGCGACACTATCTCACACTGATAAGAACGGTCTCCCAGCCAGAGAGTCTGCTGGCCAGGCAGGCACCAATTCCTTCAAGAAAGCACATGTTGGAATGCTGGGGGCTCCTGTGAGATAAAGAGCCATGGCTTTTCACTTCTGGGAGGAAGTTTGGTTGCCCTAACTGTACAGGAAGTCTTGATCATATGTGGGTGGAAGGTTCATATGCAGGAATGAACAATGGGAAGTATGCTTGCCCCTGATTGGACAAAGGTGGAAACCCAGAGTCTTGTGATTTTTGCCATTGCAACCCTCTGACTAATGGAAATTTGCGCCATGCTCTGGGAATCTCAGGTGTGGGCCTGACCAATGTCTATCATCCTGGCCAGTATTTAATAAATATAACTTCAAATTTGGGTCAAAAGAAAAGCAAGCAAGCACATGTGGCACTATTGTCCCCTAAAATAGCCTGGCTTCTACAGCAGCTAACTGAGGGAGTAGGGAAAGACAGCCTCTGAGAAAGCCTCCCGCTTCCGTGTTTCAGGAAAGCCTTTCACAGAGACGCTGGAGACAAGGAAAACAGGAAGAAAAGCAGAACAGGCAGAATAATTGCAGTTGCTTCTAGGGAGCTGTGAGCAGAAAGAGAGATAAGTACAATTAAAAGCAAGGGGGCCATAGGAAATGTCAGGGGGCACAAGGCCGCTCAGTGGCTAGTGGCTACCAGACAAGGATCAACACCTGGCAAAGCCTTAGTCACAGATGAACAAAGGGTGTGTGGTGGGAGGGGGGCTGAGCCAGATGAAGAAGGCACTATCATCTCTTTGGTGTGGGCCGGACCATATGGATCTTGGGCATCCAGGCTCTCAGCCTGTGCTATCCCAGAGAACTAAGCCGCCTCCTAACAATAACCTCAGGCACTGTCCAGACGCTGCCACTGTGATGCTGTAAAAACAAACCCACTAAATGACAGAGCTCGGTGGCCTTTGTAAATTTGGGGAATGTCACCTATCGCTGCCGCCGTGATGCTTTAAAAACAAAGTCCACTAAATGACAGAGCTCGGTGGCCTTTGTAAATTTGGGGAATGTCACCTATCTGGGGAGTTTCTCTAACTTTCCCCCAATCTCCCCCTCTCCTGCAATGCTTCTTTGATGAGACTGCATCAGAATTGCTTATTCCTCCCATCTGTAAACTTCATGGCAGTGAGACGAGTTTGGAGCCACTGACTAAGGCTGATTTGTGATGCCCAGAGATGTCTTTGGGCCACCATAGGTCCTTGGGACAAGCCCAGCTAGGTAGAGAGAGAAAGGTCTCCATCAGAACAAGCTTGGAACACTGCTGGGACTCAGCGCTTTGAGAACACAGACTCTCAGGAGGATCTTGCCCTGGCCTTCCCACGTGTTTGCCATCACACGAGACGGAGATAGCGACCACAGTGAGTGTGTACACTTGGGCAATCCACTATTTGGCACATAAATGATGGAGTCTAATTTGTGCCACTTCATTAAGGGATGCGTCTTTTTCGTTTTGGTTGAATGACATTTGCATAACTTCATAGAATGATCTAGCCAGACTCAAGGACATGCTGAGCTTGAGAAGGTCTTTGTGTGACTTGCATCCTGTGTTGGAATTTAAAGTCCAGAGGCAACTTGGAGCCACAGGTTCTGCATCCCCGCCCCAGAGACTCGCTGCTTTTCCTTTTATGTACTTCTGCTCTTTGCAACCCTAAACTGCTTCTGCTTAGGCACCTCAGAGGACAAGCCCACAGCCTGGGCAGGACAGGTTGTGTGATTGGACACATTGTAATTTGGTTGAGCCCCCAGAAGACAGCCCTTCCGGGTCAAGCGCCAGAGCAGTTCATTTCGTCGTCTGGCGCCAGACCTGTGAGAGGCAGCTTTTGAATCTGCAGGACTGTGGTGTGTCTGATCGGAAGATTCCCGGAATGGAGACTCGCAAAGACTGCTCCAACACTTTCAGCGGGATGCGGGAGCTGGGAGCTGATGGGGACCAGGAACAACAGCATGGTCAGTAAACTGGTTCCGACGGGATTCTGGCGGGGGCCAAGAAAGAAATCTAGTGGGAAAGCCAGTGGCCATGGGCTTCGGGAACTCAGCCCTGCCTGTGGCCCCTCTTTAGACCTTCCAATGGTCCCTGAGCCACGATGCTCAGACTTTTATCTTTGTGATTTTCTCTGTTTCAGGTGGGAATGCAATGGTCTTGAAGGCTGGAGAGGAAGGAGGCAAGAAAGGGCTTGAGCAGAGCAAGCCCACTCAGGGGGAGCTTGATGAGGGCAAACTTGCTCCGGGCGAACTTGCTGAAGGCAAGCTTGCTCAAGAAGAGTCTGCTCAGTGCAGTCTCGCTCAGGAAGCCACAGAAGAGGTAGAGGAGGGAGAAAACAAAGAAGAAGAAATGGGAGGAGGCCATGCTGCCGCTGGTAGTTCTGGCCCCGTGGACAACGAGGTCCACGAGGAAGGTGGCCATGGCGGCAGCGTGGATCAACAGCAGCCTCAGCCAGAGGCGGCGATGCCTGAGGGCACCAATAGTCCCCAGACTGGGGAAAGGCTGCCTGTCAAGCGCCGCACCAGATTCACCCTGTCTCAGCTGCAGGATCTGGAGCAGCTTTTCCAAGAGAATCGCCACCCCACCTTGCACATGAGGTAAGCACTTTGTCCTGCTAGGCGGCTGAATTTTAGGCAGTGTGTCCTAGCCCAGGCTTTCCTTTGGAGCTCCCTGGATCCTTGCTTTCCTCAAGAAATAGACCCACCCTGTCCTGATCCTCCCATCCTCTGTGAGAAACTAGTTTCTGGAGTAGGGGGATGGGCCCTATTCCCGCTGGGAATGAATGTGCTTTTTACCCTTTGAAGGGACACGTGCGTGGGAAATTTAAACAATGCTTGTTCTAAATGAGTCTTTAAATATGAGAAAGAAGCCAGAGGTGTGGCTGGGAAGATGTGTGGGACGGATCCCACCTCAGATTAAAATTTTGCTAAGACTTTTCATCGCGGAGGTTCTGCCTGAAGTTTTCTATTCTAAGCACATTGACTCGGTACCTGTGTTTGGGGGATTACCCTTAATTTTGGTCCCTGAAGGAAAGTTGTTGCTAAAGCTAGTCTCAAAGAAATTATGAGGAATAGTGTGATGTGGGTGTGTGTACACATGTGCACGCACACAAGTGTGGACCTAAATGATTCAAAAGCACATGGTACATGTTCCTCGATCCTTCATTTCTAACACAAAGCCTAAATGTTGGAATCTTTTCACTTCAGGAAGGATCTTGCAAGATGGCTGGGTGTGTCAGAAGCCGATGTGCAGGTCAGTATTCTAAAGAATAATTTTGGCAGGACTTCATATCTTGTGATGCTTCTGCCTAGAAGACAGGCGTAGGGGCAGAGTGGGACCCTGAAATGGCATCCCAAGGGTGCCAGAGCAGTACACTGGCAGGCTAGGTTCAAGAAGTCCCCAGACCTCCATTTTCTCAGTAGGACATGCCGAGCTGGAGACACCAAGGTGCTTTGTCTGCCATGTGGTGGACAGACCGTGTTCTCCAAGGTGCTCTGGAGACTGCAGCCCGCATGCCTCACCTAAGTGAAGAAAGCACGTTCTTGTCCACCTTCAGCTGTCACGCTGCGTGTCTCAGAAAAACTTTTCTCCGACTTCACCCCTCTCTAGTCTGTAATGGCAGATGCCTAGCTTAGTTCTGAACCAGTACAGGGCCCAGGGACCTCAAACTGCTCTTAGCACCTTTGCCTCCCTTTGCTGGTGATGTGTGTGCACTCTGATCAGCATTCCAGGCACCCCTGGCTTTTCCAGACCACATGCCCACGAGGGAAAAGGCCTGTAGTCACTGTGCTGGGAGGCTAAGAAGGAAGCAGAGCCGGAAGAAGTGCCCTTTGTCTCATTAAATCTGCATTCTGGATACTAACCAATGCTAGCATGGTGGAAACTTTGACAGACTACTGCCTCGGGCCTTTATGGATCCTCAGGAGCCCAAGAGAAATCTTCTTAATAATTGTTGATACCACAGGGACCCGCAGGAAACCATGAGCTAGATTATGCATCCTTCCTGAAAGAATGCATTAAAAATACCAATTGATGTGGGCTGGAGAGAGAGGTAGGTCTTTAAAGGGCGGGGCCTGCAACCAAAAAGTACCATTTGATGGGGAGAAGAGGCAATATTCTGGGTCTGTTCCTCAGTTGAAGGACTGGGTGAGGCTTATACGTCCCCAGGGGCTACTCAGGGGGTGTTCTTAGTGTTTCAGTGAGAATGAACCTGTTGCTTCCAGCATTCTGAACAGTCAGTATACACTTGAGGTACCTCTTCAACCCTTCTTGGGGCTACATAATAAACATGGAGTTTCTAAGCAGTCAAAGATTTGGTGCTTTGCTAAGGGAATAGCTGAGCGCTAGAGACACCCCTAGCATACACCAGGCCTGGGATGGGTTCCAAATATGTCCTCAAGTGTTAGCCAAGTTGCGCCAGTATACGAAGTTACAGCATGTGCTCTTCAGCCGTGATACAGTCAGTGTACTGAAACAAGGCTCTCTTCTGGTTACAGGATTGGTTTAGGAACAGGAGAGCCCTTCACCGGAGGAATACTAGACTGCTGGTGCTGTGCAGCACACCCCCTGCTCCCGAGAACAACGATGCCTGAAGATGCTGGAGCAGCACTGAGTGCCTTCCCTGTCCTGGAGGAAGATGTCCTGCAGCCTACCCTGCCCCTAATGTGTCGGCCACCCCTGATGGCCATGACACCCTTTCCTTCCCTGCATTGATTTCAGCAATAAAGAGGTGTATTCTCAGTACGTTGGCTCCATTATTTTCCCAGGTTACCAAACTGTGGGTATAAGTATTTGAAAGATGGTAGTTTAAATTCCGGAAATGAAATTTAAATCGGGGTGACATGGGCAAGCAGCAATCACTCTGCCTTGCAAAGGGAAGAGGACTTCTAGGTGCCAGGCTGCTTCCTGCTGACCCCACGTGGTTCTCTGCGCCCCCCGCCCCCTTCATGGACTTGTCAACTCGCTCTATCTCTGTGGGACAAGTTCTTTATAAGGGCAGAAAGGGCAAGTCCCCAAAGCAGGACAGTGTGTTTCTAGACACGGTTGTTACCACCCACACTTCAGTAAGTCCCAGCTTGGGCTCTGTTGGAAACTTCTCAGAGCTGTCTCCCAGGTTGGTGGCAGAGGGAATGGGAACACCCTGTGAGCTTTCGCTCCCCCTCTGTGGGCCTTCAGGGCAATAGGAGGCACACTGCCCAGAGTCCTGCTTCTTGACAGAGAGGTGAAGCTATCCGCCCAGGCAGAGGGGGGATTCTGTCTCCTTCTTGCATTCCGGCTCAGGGAGAATATGCTCCCAGCGTGGCCTGCTCAGAGACTTGACCTTAGTGTCTTCTGCTGCATTTTGTCACCTGCCTCGGAGAACCCTCAGTACTCAAGATTTGGGGGTCTTTCCTTCCTCACAGCCCTATGATATTAGTAAATAAGGTTGAACCCCTAGCACATGAGGAAGGAGCACAGCTTCTTTCCCTATGTGAACCCTCAGGTCCAAATAAACCAAGTTCATCTTAGGGACATGCAGAGGTATGGCCTAGGCTACTAATCCAAACTTGCTGCATGGCGGGGTCCCAATGCCTGGTCTCCTGCAATTGCACACCCTGGTTTGTTTTCTCTCTGTTCCTTTGAGTGCTCCAGGGACCTCTTCTGCTGCAGATTTGTGCTATGTTGCTTTTGGGTCTCTAAGATGCCTCCCACTGAGAAGATCTGAGAGCCCTTCCTGTAGTGGCAGGTATCAGGTACACTAGGGACGGGTCCACTGCCCTAAACCTGAGGTCTCCCCATTTCACATCTAGGAAATACTATTTTGGCACAGGTAGACACTGGTCCTGGCTCTAAGACTATTCTAGCAGTCTTCCTGACTTCCCTGTGCCTGTGACAAAGGGTAGAATAGAGATATCACATTTAGATCTGCCTGCTCCCCAATGTCTTTCGGGCTGCCGCACCTTGACCAACTGGGTGAGCAACTACTGACCATCACCTACTGCAAATGGACTCCGGTCTGAGATGTCCAGGGGACATGATGGCCACGGTGCTGTCCAAAGCGGGCAGGCACAGCAGCCTTGGATTCCCTGTTTGTCTTTGGTCAGGAAGAGGAGGCAGGGCCTCTAGAAGGAGGAATGAAGCCAGAGCACAGCCCCTGCCCCCAGGCTGTGCAGGGCTCAGTTTGCTCAATGCTTATCCTATAGTGCCTGGGGAATTGGAATGAACTGAAAGCATTGTCAGCCTTTGAAGGGAGGACTGGAAGCAGGGGTTTCCAGGGGCCTTCATACTGTCTCTGGGGAGCCTGAGCTCCCAGCTCCTTCCAACTTCAACTGTTTCTCCATAGGAAGAAGAGTTCCTACACCAGGGAGTTCTCCTCCTTCCTGACCCCTCCCCTACCCTGTCACTCCACTGTGGCAGCTGCCACTACCAGCAGGGCCTCTTCTCCCAGTTGACCTCTGGATGGTATTTTACAATCATTTTTATCTTGGGATAATCAGCAAGAACTCATGGTGGGGACCACACCTGGAAAAGCACAGAGAGAGAGTCAGAGACAGAGACACAAAGACAGAGAGACAGACAGACAGACTGAGAGACACATAGAGACAGACAGAGGAAGACAGAAAGAGACAGAGACAGAGAGACGAGGGGGATCCACTGAGGACCTGGGCCCCACAATGGATGTTCCAGCAAAAGATTATTTTCTTGAGTTTCATTCGGGCGCTCGCCACCAATGTCCCAGGTACCAGGTATCTTGTGCTGAGCTGCTCCAAGTGCCTGGCTGCCACACAAAGTGGCATTTCAGCAGGGACTCATGCTCCCTGAACTGAACCTACAGATGGCGGCTTCTGCCTCAGCCGACTTTGGATTCTCGTCCTATAGTCCTCAGCGTGCCACTGAGATGTGCTGTAGACACGCTTCCCGGGGAGACACAGGAAACGTGAACGAACCCCTACTGAGCCCGGCTGAAGCTGCCTAACCTTTTACTCCTTGTGTCTTAAGCATCTCTCCTGGATTCTGAACTCTTTCACCTCCATCTGGAATGTCTAAAGTCTCCAGGAGGCTTCCTCCCCACATGGAATTCTTATCTTGGAGGAAACTGCCACACACGTGT